GGGTCCTCCGGAGGACCCGGCCTGTCGTTTTGGACACAGCCTATATAAATAAATAGAATTGATTTGAATTATTAGGTGAGTCATCCCCAATTTACATTGAGTGTTACTGTATTACATTAGGTCTGTATTTAAAACTGCCAATAACTGTTAATATATTTGTTTTTATTTGTTAGCAAAATATCTTCTAAACCCCTGGATGGGTTTATTAAAAAAAAATCATTGGATAAACATTAACTTCTGAAATTTTTTAGGGTCAACTTGGTCACAACAGCCAACTGACTTTGGTCAAAACAAAAATGAATATAATTCAGTGAATGTGTTGAGTGTTTTACTGTACTTTATTGTTCAGCACATTGTTCCTTTGGAGGAGTTTTGAAGGGCTTTATAAATTTTRAATTGGATTGGATTTTAATTGCCATTGATACTATTGACATTCGAGTATGCAGTCTTTGTCRAGTGCGATCTGATAAGAAATTTACCAAAACCTTAGGATCTAATTAGGATTTTATTATAAACAAGTTTAAATATGTAATAAAATGTTGATTGTGTGTCAGTGGTTCATGATTTGAATTTTCTTCTCCAGGGTTTACCCAACTTCAAGTGGCGTATTTCATTCATCAATAAGAGCTATGATTTGTGTGACACATACCCAACGGTTCTGGCTGTACCTTACAATAGTAAAGATGAAGACCTCAGAAGAGTAGCTGCCTTTAGGTCCAGAGGACGCATACCGGTGATTTCCTTAAACAAATCTTACTGTTCAGGACACTTTGACTCCATGAGTTTGCTGAAACATATTGTTTGTCTAGGTTCTGTCATGGATCCACCGGGAGAACCAGGCAGTGATTGTACGTTGCAGTCAGCCTCTCGTTGGAATGTCTGGTAAAAGGAACAAAGATGATGAACGCTACCTGGACCTGATCAGGGAAGCCAATGACACCACAAAGCAGCTCACTATTTACGATGCTCGGCCAAATGTCAACGCTGTGGCCAACAAGGTCAGAGGAAAAAGAAACTATGAGTGGTAAAAGGCTGGTTCCAAATTCAGGGGCTGTGTCCAAATTCTGCCGCTTGCGTCACACTGAAGGCTGTCCAAATTTGAAAGCTCCTCCATTTGCTGCCCACAAATGCATCCTCCTTTCTCCTTGATTTGAGGGACGGGTCTGGTACATACATCTCGGCCCACCCTGTCCTAAGATAAATTGTAGGCTGAAGCTTTTTTTTTTTTGCGTGTAATGACAGATAAAGTGAGGGACAGAAGTATAATATTAAATAAAAATCTGGCCATATAAAAAAATTTAAGTTTAAAGTGGTTGTGTTGCTACACTATTAGCTCAGACATGTTTTTTATTATTGTCAGAAATCATTGTAAACAAGCTTGTATGACAGGTCCCTTAGTTCTTCGTGCATTGCATCAAAGCTAATTTTGTAAATTATTTTAATAGTTTTTCACGGTTTGACTATCTTATAAAACTCTGCTTTCTAGTCTGGGAGCGAGTCGTCCCCCMCAAGCGCAGCRCAAACAAACATGCCCACGAACTTCAGACCAATCGCACATTACCGTCGACACGGGAGGGGGGTCAAAAAGTTCTGCCGGCGGGTTGTGCCAAAAGGGGCTGTCGACAAGACGCTGAGAAGCCCGTTGACGTAATTTTCGTCATTAAACTGCGACAACCCATGCTGACGTCGGCAGTTTGCAGGGAGTATGTATTCAGCATTAGCCTGGTGGGGTGTCAAGTAAAGCCTGGTGCCCTGCCAGGGTAATAATGGACAGCAGGAAACYCTGCATCTACATGCAAATACCAGAAAATAAAAGCTGACATTCATGAATTCTTGTCTCATGCTCATCTTTTGATCTTAAACCCAAATGTCTTTAGTGTTCAACAAAATTCAGATTCAGAATTTATCAAAGCTTGTTCTTGGCTACTACTATGCCAGTTTTCAGCTATGTAAATCTTAAAATAGCTGAATTTGCCTTTTGTTAAATTAACATTAGCGGTTTGGTTAAACTTATTAGCATTCAAAATGTGTTGAGTTAGGTCTCAGCTATCAGCCCACCAAAATTCAGCATTGTGTGTCTTAAAACTGCTGAGCAATCTGGGTGCCATGTTGAATTACACAACCTCTCTGTTCTGTCACTCATGAGGCTACTCTGCCCAGTAACATTCTCAGCTAATGTCAGAGAAGCAGTGCAGAAACGTACTTTCAACATGAGAAAATTTCTGAAAAGTTTAGTTCCAACAACCAGCCGCTTTGTGAAAACTATAGGGTCTATTCAAATAATTCTTCAGCTTTGAGTGACAGAAGAGATTGGTTCTTACTCATAGAAATTTTCAAATTTGTACAATGATTTATCTCAGAGATACAATGAGTTTAAAATTGTTGTCGTTTTGCATCAGAACCAGAGCGTGAAATAAAATTTGCATAGATGAAGATAGGAAGGGAAGTGGTACGACCCTGACGCACTTTGAGAGAAAATTATTTGTCCTACAGCAAAACCAGAAATATTAGCTGACAGAAGACAGAAATGGCTATGTTTTGGTATATAAAGATAAATAAAAGCTAGACAGYTCTCACTCTATGTCACATGACTCACACTGTGGCAGTTAAAGTCATTTGGGAGCTGAGCTCTCTGTATTCCTATGAGGTTTTTTTGGTGGTAGTTTTTTTGCGATTTACGTTGCTATGGTAACTCAAAATGCCAYTAAACGYAATAGCACACCTCCCATTGCCGAGCGGGTTGTTTTGATATAGCATTTATTGGGGTATATAAAACAGCTGGAGTGCCCAGAAACCATGTGACCGGCTGTAGAAGCTATAGTCTAGTAGGGAGGTGGGGTCCCATGCACCTGAAAGATATATTTTTTAACCTAACTTTTTGTAMTCCTTAAGATGTCWAGTAAATAGATTGAGATGACCACAGAGCAAATTATTTTCCCACATATGTTTTTATTGACCATCTTTGATGGCCGACCTGGATTTTCTATTGTGAATAATGAAAACTTTAAATCAACATAGCTCCTAAACTATACATTCGACAGACACCATTCACCCCATTTTATTTTGTCTTTTCATGGGTAATTGGTTGAAAAAAAAAAAGATTCCTATGATTATATCATGTTTGATGCATAATAGCTGGAATAAACACTAAAAAAATGCTAAAATTTGCCTAAACTGAATCGCAGGAACTTCTCCCCTGTACACCCTATTGATATTTTTTTCAAAGCGTTGTATATTTATAATCTTCAACATGCATAGTAAACACAAATTTAACAGTGGACAGGATTGGCGGGGCTCAGTCTAGGGTTCTTATTCAAGTCTATGATGGAGACACAAAATGTTCTCCTTGCTTTACATTCTGTTAATACTTTTGAATTTAAGTTACCCCTCAAGTCATATCTTACCTTTTGATCCTTAAAGTTGTTTTGTTTAACTGTCATTGTTGGTGATAGGTTTTGATGTTTTCACTGCCACTGTCCTGCCATGGAATGACAGTCTGCATTCTACTTTGTTTGGCTTTCTTTTGGTAAAATGTAACCAAATTTGGAAAGTTTGTCAGTTTTTTTTCTCAACCATCTTTTCATTCTGCCACCAATTTGTGTATTTCATTGCAAATACAAATGAACATTTACGTGRTTAAATATTCAATGAACATTGGATAATAAAATTATGTGTTGACTAATTTTTATAATCAATTGATCATTTTTAATAATCAGTACAGCACTACAAAAAAGAAATAAATCACAACGCTGAGAGGAATAGTTGAGTTATTCTCCTGCGCAATAACAGAAAGTGATGACAATGGTGAACACCCGATTATAAGCAGAGAATTGCTGCTTTAAGATCCATTGTGTAGTGATAAAATAGGTAATATTTTCTGTATTATGCCATATTTCTTGAAAATTAAGATGTTTTCTTCCACTTGTGGTATTAGTAGGAAATGCATGTCACAAACACTTCAAACTTTTCAAACATTGATGGTTATGTTTACAATCCTTAGGCCACTGGAGGGGGCTATGAGGGGGATGAATACCAGAATGCAGAACTGATCTTTCTGGACATCCAGAATATCCATGTGATGAGAGAGTCTCTGAAGAAACTCAAAGATATTGTCTACCCTAATGTGGAGGAATCTCACTGGCTGTCCAGTCTTGAGTCTACACACTGGTTAGAACATATTAAAGTAAGAGAAACTGATTCTGTGCACTTCTCAATGGTCCATCAGGATTTTTTTTCCTGTTTAAGGTTTTAAACTTTTGTCTTTGCAGCTGGTGTTGTCCGGCGCTATCCAGGTAGCAGATAAGGTTTCTAATGGTAACTCGGTGGTGGTTCACTGCAGTGACGGCTGGGACCGGACCGCTCAGCTCACCTCCCTGGCCATGCTGATGCTGGACAGCCACTACCGAACCCTCAGAGGGTTCCAGGTCAGTCTGTCCACAGAGACAGGAGTAAACTACATAGAGGAGGTCTGACACTAATGGCTGATGTGATGTTTTTTGTTATTTAGGTGCTGATTGAAAAGGAATGGATCAGCTTTGGTCACAAATTTTCCTCTGTAAGATTTCAGTTCTGAGTATTTTTCTTTGGATTTTTGTTTTTTGAACACATGACTTTAATCCTGTGTGTGTGTGTGTGTGTGTGTGTGTGTGTGTGTGTGTGTGGTCAGAGGATAGGTCACGGTGATAAAAACCACTCAGATCAGGACAGATCACCCATCTTTGTTCAGTTCATCGACTGTGTTTGGCAGATGACAAAACAGGTTGGTTTAAATAAATTATCCTGATGCACTTGATTAGAAACGTTATTTTTTTCCAGTGATTGTGTTTTTTGTATCAAAATATGGGGAAATAAACAAATTTAGACCCAATAATAAAACTTATTTAAAGACCAGAATAACAAATGGCTTTAAGTCGGAATAATACATAAAGCTTCTTAAAATGGCCTTTGTAATTATCCTTTTATTGACTCTATTTTGTGTTTAGAAAAACCATTTACAACTATTCCTTTTTTATTTTTAATGTAAAAGAACAGTATAATTGACCTTGGTTATGTTTGAAAGTCTGTCTGATGTTTGCTTTTCCTGTTTTTTTTTATATAAATGCACATGTATATCAGTCTATTTGATTATTAGTTTAAATTCATTTTGTTCATGTGAGAACCAATGTTCAGGCTTAAAAGCCTGAATTTTGCCTGAAACTCTCAGACTGAAGAAGTCTCTTGGAGAAAAGACGAAACGTTTCATTAGAGAAGAACCCGTCCAGAAGACCTACACAATTTTTTTCTTACTGATTCCATGCTGAAAATAGCCACGCAGAGCTCAATTATTGTTTCTTAGTGGTGCTCAACTGTAACAGTGAGACAAGTAAAGTGATGTTTTATGGTTGGTTGAAATTAATATAGAAACATCAAAGTTAATTACAGCTGGCCCTTTGATGGCCACCATAACGCCCATGTGGCCCTCGGTGAGTTTGACACTCCTGATTTGATGAGGTCTTTTTTTTATCAGCTTCTAGCCTTGAGCCTCTAGTGACTGGACATCGTTAATATATAAGTGTTGTGCACTTTATAAGAGCTGCACATGTTAACACATTATTATGTTTGAGCCTGAATCATAACTTAAATTCAAAATACACCAAACATGCCAAGAATTTTATTATTATTAATATTTTTTTTCACAATATTGAGATTAACTCACACACACAGGTAGAACTTACACATCATCGTTGGAACTGGTGGGGGTGAACAGGGTGCTTTTTTAAAAGCAATTTGTTGCGGAGCGCTTAAGTTACAGTAAAATATGATTGAAAATTTTAATGAATTAGTGTGTTCGCCAGACACACAAGTTGCAGAAACTCATCTGACAGTAGCGCCAAAAGTCTTTCTCTACCCACCCCTCACTAAATTTTGTCGTTTGAAGTGCTTGATTTAGTTTAAATTCAATTCAATTCAGTTTATTTATTGTAGTGGTCACCTCGAGGTGGAATAAACAGTTCCACCTGTCTTTGACCTTGGTCTCAGAAGATCTCCTTCAGAGAGACAAAACTCTGTTCCATTTAAAACTGAATTTATGTCACAATGTGTCTTCTTAAACATAGAGCCATTTTCTTCTTCTTAATCAGATAACAAACAGAATAATCTTCTTTTTATTCAAAATTTTATCAATGTATAAAAAAAGAAAGCACGAAAAGAGTTTTATTACAATGTTTTATTGTGCCTTCATGTAAATCACTGCTTGAACTTTAACTGTGAAACCACAGTAATTGATTATAGATTTTGCTGTTGAAATATTTTACTTAACTAAACTTTGCGTTATGCTTAAGCTTTATTATGAAACATTTTATAATTATTTTTGTCTGAATCATAATGAATGTTTTAAATGAAACAATTCATTTTTAAGTTTTCAGTAAATCATCCTTTAAGTGTTCTTTAAAATGTTCTCAGCAGAGAACAGGTCAGAACAGACTGTGCAGAAGTCAACAGTGTTGTTGAAGACAAACAACACCTGGCAGTCCTCCACTAACCTTCCTACTTTGAATTAACATCTCTGAGTTAATAACAGTCAGTCAGTCGAGAAGAGAACATGCTCGTGCTTCAACAAGGACGCATCTGTTTTCTCCAGAGAGGAGAAAAAGCTTTCGGCTGCGAGGTTTGGCCCATTGAGTCAACGGGATAACCTCTCAGCCTAGACCAGACCATCACTCGGTCTCGTCTATTATTTTGAGCTTACCAAAGTTACTCACAGAGAAACTTTTGTTTTGAAACTTCTGAGTGGAAGTATTCTATTTTTGAGAGGGATACAGAAAAGCGCCCCGTCTCTGATCTTCAAGTAAAAGCAGCCCAGGAGATGCTGAAGGACTAACGTAACGTGCCTGGAAAGTGTCTGACTGGATGAGGTTCCGAAAAGTTCTTACCCAATTGGACGATCTTTCCTCTGACTTGAGCCGTGGTGGGTGAAACTATCCCCGGTCAACGCAATGGCTGACTGTTATTGAGCGTACCTGTGTCTGGCTGGATCCGTTGAGAAACTTCTGCCTTTTCTGGTTAAAATCCACATTATTTAAAGGATAAAGTTAAAACACTAATCCTCTTCCTCCACCTTTCTATCCTATTAAACCTGCCCTGCCAAAACTTAAGAAAAAGTGCCTCAAACAAATGGTTTATTATAGGGGTAATATCATGTAAAATCAACTTTTTTGAGTTTTATATCATGTTTTACAGGTCCTTCTCAAAAAATTAGCATATTGTGATAAAGTTCATTATTTTCTGTAATGTACTGATAAACATTAAACTTTCATATATTTTAGATTCATTGCACTGAAGTATTTCAAGCCTTTTATTG